TGCAAGCTGAAGCAGGGAACTGCTAAGGCAGCTGTACCCTGGTCCGACCATCACAAAGCAAGAGACCCGAGAACTAGAAAGGCGAGGCTCACTGAGCCATTTATCCCTCCGCCTTTCAATTAACCCCACATGTGTTTATCGACCAGGTTGGCACAATAAACAAACTACCCCACAAGGCATGTTTTTCGACAGCTAATCTTTCTTCTTTGTTTCTAACTTTTGCATTCCAATCCTCAATCATTATCAATGCATCTATATTGCATATGTGATCAATTTTAAACTGTAGAAGTTGGTAAAAATGTTCAATTTACTAATCTTTTGCATTAGTGATTGTGAGGGAATTTGATTAATAGTTGTATTAATCTTCCTTGTGGACCTATGTCTATTATCCTATTATTTACATCACTATACTTCAAAATAGATATTGAAATATTATTTTTCTTTTTTATATATCATTTTAAATTGTAAATTGGGTGAAGGTTTACATTTCAAATCATTGAATTTGTATTCAACAGTTTAAACTACTAATCAGAACCCCTCGCCGCCCCAATAGTTTACTCTTCACTAGCTCCCTGGTTTCTCTTTTCACTCTTTTGGACTACAATCTTCCACCGAAATGTGATAAATGATGAATGTGACACCATTTATATGCTATTTCTCATCTCCTGCCTAGAATATATTCAAAAGACATGAAAGAAAGAAAAGATCAAAGCGATTGTCAGAAGAGATTCAGAAACTTGCTATTAGTCATATAGGAGCTAAGGTAAATGGAAGAAATGATGAAGTCCAAGAACTGAACACAAAAATTCAAAGTGCAGCTAGAGAAGACAAAGCCAACTATTATAATGAAATGTGAAAATAGCTAGCATTAGAAACCTCAAAAGGAATAACATACTCAGCATCTTAAACTGAAAGAACTTAAGAAAAAGTCAAGCCTCCAGTTGCAATATTGAAGATTGATGCAGGACACATCAAAAGGAGATGGAACGAATACAGTTACTGTACCAACAAGAACTATTCATTTCATTTCAGAAGGTAACATGTGAGCAAGAACCAATGGTGCTGAAGGAATAAGTGCAAGTGATACTGAAAGCATGAGCCAAAACCCAGGCTCCAGTAATTGATGGAATGCCACTCGAAATGTTTCAACAAGCTGATGAAGCACTAGGGGTAGTCACTTGTCTATGCCAGGAAATTTGGAACACAGCTACTTAGCCAACTGACTGGAAGAGTTCTCTATTTTTACCCATTCAAAAGAAAGGTGACTCCGCAGATTGCTCAAATTATGGAACAATATTATTGATATTACATACAAGTAAAATCGCACTGAAGATCATTCAACATGTTGTATTGGTACATTGACAGGGAGTTGCCAGAGGTTCAGGTCAAATCCGGAAGAGAATGTAGGACAAACGGTATTGAGTTAGTTAATTGTGCTAGCCTGGCCGATAATCACATGTGGTGCTGGTTGAAAGGCGGAGGGATAAATGGGTGGTGAAGCCTCGCCTTTCTAGTTCTCGGGTCTCTTGTTTTGTGATGGTTGCACCGGGTGCAGCTGCCTTAGCAGTTCCCTGCTTCAGCTTGCAAGATGGATTTCCTACAAGACATCCCCAAGGAGAAGCCGCATGGATCTATCCCGATGCAGCCCTGGGTGCTGGAGCGGCCGTGTGGAGACCCCTGCCAGTGCTGAGATGCTTACACGTTCACTAACTCAGCTTTCTTCCTGCAGTCGGCATTATTGCCTCTGTTTTGTGAGGTGAAGGACTTTGTGGACTGGTGTTGGGTATGGGTTAATGTTGGACTTGTGGGCTTGGGCAGCATTGGGTTGGGATGTTTTCGTGATGCACATTTTCTTTGCATAAAACTCTCTCTTATACATGAGTTGCTGTGGATTTGTTTCTCCAAAGTACCCAGACTAATACATTATGGTACCAGCCGTTTATAGTGCTTCTAATTTAACTGTTTATTTCTTGTGTATTTATCTGTATATGATTGTATATTTATCTGTATATGATTTAAGATTGTATATTTATCTGTATATGATTTAACATTTCATTTCTTGTTATATATTAATTATCTTTATAAATAAATATATTATATTATCAAGAATTTGGTTTTATCTCTCTAGAGAACCCTGTCTAACACAGGTATTATTACTGATGTCAGATGGATTGCGACTGAAAGCAGAGAACACCAGAAAGATATGTACTTGTGTTTTATTGACTATGCCAAAGCATCCAACTGTGTGGATCGTGACAAATTCTGGATAACCTAGAGAATGGGAATTCCAGAGCACTTCATGGCGCTCCTGTGGAACTTGTACACGGATCAAGATGCAGTTGCGTGAACAGAACAAGGGAATATTGCATAGTTTTAAAATCAGGAAAGGTGTGTGTCAGTGATAGATCCTCTCATCATATTTATTCAACCTGTAGCCTGAGAACATAATCAGAGAAGCTAGATGATATGAAGAAGAATGTAGTATCCGGATTGGAGGAAGGCTTATTAACAACCTGTGATATGCAGATAACACAACCTTTCTTGTTGAAAGCAAGGAGGACTTGAGGCACTTGCTGATGAAGATCAAGGATTGCAGCCTTCAGCATGGATTACAACTCAATGTAAAGAAAACAAACATCCTCACACCTGGACCAACAAGTAACTTCATGATAAACAAAGATTGAAGTTGTTAAGAAGAGTTTCTTCTCGCTTGGATCAACAATTGATGTTCATGGAGGCAGCAGTCAGGAAATCACATGGTGCATTGCATTGGGCAAGTCTGCTGCGCAAGACCACTTTAAAGTGTTGGAAAGTAAGAACATCGCTTTGAGGACTAAGTTGCGCCTGACTCAAGCCATGGTCATTTCAATTGCCTCACACGCATGTGAAAGTTGGATACTGAATAAGGACGACTGAAGGAGAATCGATGCCTTTGAATAATGGTGCTGAAGAATACTGAAAGTACCATGGACTGCCAAAAGAACAAACAAATTTGCCTTGGAAAAGGTACAGCCGGAATGCACATTAAGGCAAGAATGCCAAGATTGTCTCATGTACTTTGGACACATTGTCAGGAGAGGCCAGTCCTTGGAGGACATCATGCTTGATAAAGTGGAGGGGCAGCAAACAAAAAGGAAGGCCCTCAACAAGATGGCTTGACACAGTGGGTGCCACAATGGGCTCAAACATAAAAACAATTGTGAGAGTGGAACAGGACCAGACAGTGTTTCATTCTGTTGTAAACAGGTTAGCTACGAGTCAGAACTAACTTGCTGGCACCTAACAGCAATAGCATAGACTACGATTGTTTCAAAATGGTCCATGTTCATTCATTTCAGCTCACTATTGCCTAGGATATTGATCTTTATGTGTTCCATACAGGGGAATTTTGTGATTGATGATTTTTTTTTACTTTGAATTTGGTGTGTGTGTGTGTGTGTGTGTGTGGAGGGCATCTTTCAGTCCTTAGAGCCTGTACATGTTTTAAACAAGCCCTGAGTGGAAGGCATGTTCCCATTTGCCCTCCATGCTCAGCTCACAGCCATTGAGTTGATGTTGACTCCTAGTGATCCCACAGGACGGGGCAGAACTGCTCCTGTGAGTTTCCAAGACTGTCATTCTTCACAGGAGTAGAAAGCCCCACCTTTCCCCTGTGTGGCAGCTGACAGTTTTGAACGGCTGCCTTGTGGATAGCAGCTGAATGTATAACCACTATGCCTCCAGGGTTCCCCGTTGCTCCCCATACCTGCAAAGAATTCATTGGAAACTGGGCACATACCAAGCAAAACAACCATTCAAGGGATGAGGAAAGAATAAAAGTGTGCTTACATACACAGAGAGTGTTGTCAGGAGGGCAGTGCCAATCAAGAAGGAAGAGAGTTTTCTAGAAGAAGCTACACCATGGAGACACTTTGATGCTGGCAATCTTCCTTATAACAAAGCTGCTGGAGAGAGAAAGTGTCCGAGACCCTCCCTTTGTCAGAAGTTAGTTGTAGCACTAAATCTCCAAATGCCTTGGGTATCATGGACAACTGCCCGTAGCAGCACTCAAGTGGGTATTTGGTGTTATGCAGAGGAATGGGGAGGTGTGCTTCAATTACAAAGCACAAGCCAGTAGAAAGGAAAAATTTCTGTTCTTTCGTGTTGAGATAAAAGACACTGGTAAGTATTGGGAAAGCAGGCTTCTATGGAAAAGTGGGTGTTGGATATGTTTGCAGCAGGGGTGAAATGAGCTGCATAGATTCATGGTGGAGTTCCATACAAGTGTTCCCTTTTCTGGCATGGTGCTGAGAATGTAGATGAAGGGGATGAAGGTGTCTCAGAGGAAGGTGCAGGCCACAGCCATGCTAATTTCCTAAGCGTCTGCCTTACTATCCCCCTAGGGAGTTACTTGGGGTTTCATGATCTCCACCCTAGGTCTCACCAAAGCGACAGGGAAGAGAATAGAAAGAGGATTCCCCCAAAGGTAGAAGAAGCCAACACTTCTCATTCTGCTAGGGATTTATGTGGAGGACCTCACAGAAGGGACGGGAGTTGAAACCGAGTTTAACTGTTGCTTTGCTCAAGAGCTAGAAATATACACAGTCGGCTTTCAGTCAATGGCAACCACTATTGTTATATTAAGAGCACGCAGATGCCTGACAGGGGGTTCCCTCCACCTGAAGGATGGGGAGAGAAGCCGCAAACATGCTGACCTTAGTCTCTAGGCCCCAGTTTAGCAAGGAATGAGGGACATGCACCCTGGCTGAAGGATTTTTCTGTGCCAGGCACTGGGCTGGTTGCTTCCTGTACATTCCATCTTCATCTCCCCAGGCCTGGACCCAGCCCCTTGTTGAAGCCTTTGCTGAGCAGGGCAGCTCGCTTTGGCCTCTGCTTCGCATAAGCACCATTGAGCATGTATGCATCTGTCAGGGAGCCAATGCCCCAGCTGATTCACATTTCGCGTGTGTTGTTGTCTTTCTCTTCATGCAGACTGTCAACTCAAGGACAGGGACCATGTCTCTCTCTTTGTGTGCCAAACAAAGCACACAACTTTATTGATGATACACACAAATGATGGCTTGGGTGGGTGGGTGGGGTGAAGTCAATACAATCAACAGAAGGGGTGTGTGACTAGGCTTTGGATGAATAGTCAGCTCGCAAAGAAGAAAGAGTACATTTCAAAAGAGTTCTATGTGAACAGCAACAAATACACTTGCAGCACAAGCTCGGGTAGGCGTCCGGTCTCCACAGGCCAGTCCAGCTTGAACAGGGAGGGCACCACAGGCAACCGCACTGCTCTGTGCCACTGTGCTAGTATGCTCTTTCCCCACAGCTGGCAGCCGCGAGGAGCCCCTCCCCACCAGGAGGAGGCTGCGAGGCAGGGGTGTGCAGTGCACATTGCCTGCAGGCTGGGACGCCAAGCTCTGGGGGAACCTCTGCTGGTCAGTGAGAGTGTGTGGTCCCCGCTTTGGCAACTGTCACTTCCACCCAGTGAATGGGGTGATTAGCTAAGGCTGGTCCTTCTACAGCACCCAATGCAGAGCCCCTGGATGAGAACACAGGTAGGTGCGCTTGGGTTCACCAAACGGGTTTTGGCTGGATTTGGTCACTTTCTGCTTGAGACAAGGCCATTTAAGGGCCCAGGGCATCCAGGAGACTCTCCGTGTTTCCATTTCTGATAAAGAGGGGCAAGGATGACAGCAGCCCGTGGGCCTCGAGCCACTCCCCTGCCAAGGCTGGCGTTTCAGACAAATTCATTAGCTGTTTCAGAACCTGAGCCTTAGCACAGCCACTTTCCTCTGATAGGAAAGGAAACCTCATGTCTGAAACGGATTTGGCAAGCATGTGACTAATAGCTGTCATGCTTATTAACAAATTTAATCCTGCCTGCTGCAGAAATGAGGTGTAGCCACGAGACACAGTCTCGAGGCACACTTGGCTGATGTACATCTTAATCTGGCCCTGCTTTTCAGCACTTAGGTTCACATTCTCCGGTACACAGAAAGTCTTCTCCTCAACAGTGGGGTTGGGAGTGAGGAACGTGTTCCCAGCAGTGGAGAAGCTGGCCAGAGGACTGCTGATATCCTGGCTACGTGAGAAGCCAGCATCCTTGGGCTGAGAAAACAACACTTTTATCTCAATGAGAGGACTCTTGGAGAGGTCAAGGGTACAGCTGGTGTTTTTAAAGCTTAGAGCCCCCCAAGCATTTTTGTGTCCATAGGGGAATGGACGGCGTCGTGTTGGGTGTGCCCGGTTGGCCTTGCCCCCACCTGATCTCCTGGCTTCATTGCCATCTGGAGCCCCGGGATCAGTCCAATCCCCATCATCACTCCAGGGCCGAGCTGTAGATGGGAAATCAAACCACATCTCGGACTCATCCTCTTCTGATTCATCATCTTCATCCCATTCTTCCTCTTCCTCTTCCTCCTCCTCCTCTTCCTCCTCCTCATCCTCCTCCGACTGGTCATCGTCCTCTCTTCCAATGGTCAGTTTGTACATGCAATAGCAGGCACCCGCCCCAATCATTAGTCCTGCTGCCATCCAACCCACCTCCCTAGCCCGACTCATACTTCAGTGTCTGCAAGCCTTGAGGCAGGCCAGGTCGGTCACCTTGCTCAGTCCCAGTGACGAGGGCTCTAGAGTCAAAATGGGCGGTGGTGGTGGGTGTTAGTCTTCAATGTTTCTCAGGTTCCTTATGTCTCTTAGGATGCATCTAGGGATGGAGACGAGTATGAGGGTTATGTGTCTCACCAAGCAGGCAGGTTGGGGGGTCTCAGTGAGGAAGGTCAATGATTAGCAAACTATTTCTGTGCCCCTTTCTGTCGACCCACTATCCATCCCCTGAGTCCAATGTTTTCTTTTCCAGGCCCCACAGAGAAGGGCATGAGTTTGGGTCCTGTTAAAGTGAGTATGAGACTGAGAGGGAGAGGCCTACTCTCAAGTAGTCAGTTTCCTCCTCCACCATATCCCCACCCCCAAAGAGTCACAGATAGTTCCCCCTGCTCACCTTTGGCAGCAAAGTTAAGTAAATTCCTTCTTCCTTTATGCTCAGTTGTCAGTTCAGCAGAAGGGCAGATGGAAAGACCAAAAGGTGGCAGTGGAGAACTGAAAATGCAGTGCATGGATCAGCACTGAAGACACTGCAGGCTCCAAGAGCTGCTTTCTTGAATTCCTGACCCTGAGTTTAAATCTTTCCCACACCCTCCAGACTTTCTTAAAGCGTGTTTTCCAGGTCCCCTCCTAGTCCGCCATTTCCCCTGCAAAGGCCGCCACACCCCTTTCCTTGAACTGAAATGGGAGGGGGATGGAGAAAGCAGGGGCCGGGAGAGGGCGACTCAGACCTGGCCCGCACAGATCTTAAGCCCGCCACCCCCACCCAAGCATCCCGGGCTAATCCCACCTTTACAGCGATCTGTAAGGTTCCTGGGCAGTTTGCTCCTTTCCTTGCCACAATTTCAGTCACGACCTACACGGGAGAACAGACCTCCAAACCTGCAGAGAAACAAGAAGCAGAGGGGGAATGCTGGCTGCTTGGTAGACGATGGACCAAGACAGGCATGGGACACGGGTGTCCAGATTGGGGAATCTTTCCTCCGAGTCTACACAACCTCCGTCCATTCTCCCCTACCCAAAGCCCGCCAGTTTTCTTCAGTAAAACAAGAGGACAAGAGGGGCAGGCAGGCGGGATGGAGGGGTGGGGGGTGCGGGGTGGGGGGGAGGGTATTCAGAAAGTAGGCTAGGAAGAGGCACAACCTGACCGGTCCAAAAAACCCCTCACAAAATCCCTGCCCCGCGGCGCTCTTGCGCCCCCCATCATCCTCACCTCCCTCAAAGCAGTTGACAGGGACTGCAGGATCTGGGCGAGTTTCCTCCTCCCTTCACCCTGCCAGCAGAGTAGAAGTGGGGCCAGTACCCTGGCGGAGGCGACGCGCAGGACTTCAGCTCTAAGCTGCCCTTGGTCACGTGACGACCACGTCACCAGTGAGCTCTGGGCCCCCAATTTCCACTCCCACTAGCAGTGCGGCAGGCGCCAGCCCGCCTGGTATCTTCCCCCATTCCGCTGGCCCCCCGCACTCTTTTTCCTCTTTAATAATACCAGAGACCAGATGGGGCTTTGCCTCCCTGCCTTTCTCCAATTACAGGAAAGGAGACCCAGCCGCGTCCGGGTTAAGCGCTTGGCAGTTGTGCAAAAGGTTGTCAGTTGGAACCCACTTGGCAGCTCCGCGGGAGAAAGACAGGGCAATTTGATCTTCAGGTTACAGCCCAGGGAACCTGATGGGGCGGTTCGGCTGTGCCACACGGGGTCACCATGAGTCTGAATCATTCAATGGTCCCCAACAATGACAGCATCTTTTCCTTATATTTCTTGGCGATTTCTTTCCTTGGCTCTGAAACTTCTGCCTCCAGTGTCCTTAATTTCTATCCCTTCTTCCATGTAGTCTTTGCACCAAAATGGGGGAGGGGGTTAGAAAAGGAAGCCCAAAGAGTAATGAGAGTTTTATTAATAGTTTTCATGCATTTAGGTTCTATTGCGTGGTGACTCTCAGGCTACACTGTTTTTGTAAGCAGCGAATACTACGAAGCTATTGTCTCTTGGAAAAAGAATTTAGAGCTTTTAAAATGAAAGGTATACAAGAGAAGCATGATTTTCCAGTTAATTGAAAGTCTGCATTGATTTGGTTAAGCAAATTTGTATCACAATGAAAATAGTTTCTACAGGCTTTATAGGGAATAGTAGCTTTTACACATTGTGCTAAGCGTCTTCTTTTTTTAAGTCTTACAAACAAAAACAGTGTGCTTTCGATATGATTTATAAATTGCTAAGTGAGTCCATAGATCAGCATTCTAATTGTGACCATTTTAGAGAAGTAAACCACTATCCCTTTCCTTCCTGTCTGAACTCACAGTACCCCATGTCAGCCAGCTGAGATCTTCCTAGAAGAAAATTGCTGGTTGGATTCTACTCTGACTTCAAAGGGCAGATTTTAGGCAGCTCTCTAACTGCAGGTGGATCTTGTTGTTGTTGCTTTTATTGAGTCAATTCTGACTCACTGGAAACCCCAACTGTGCAGAGTAAACGGCTTCACAGCATTTTTAACGGCTGTGCTTGAGGATTAGTTGGAAATCACTCAAGAGGCTTCAGAAAAAATGACCTGGCAATCGGTTCCTAAAAGACCACAGTCCTGAAAATCCCCTGGAGCACGCCGCCACTGAGTCTGAATTAATTCCATGGCAACCACCTACCACAGTCTTAACAGCAGTAAATGGACAGGTCTCTCTTCTGCTGTACCGCTGCCTGCTTTCAAACTGCTGATTGTGATGACTAATGCAGAACCTTATAGATTACTGACGCCATCGATTAGCAACTTCATCGATTCACCTGCTTTCTCTTCTCACTACCACCAGTCTTGACTCATAGCAACCCTATAGGACAGGGTGGAAGTGCCACTATGTCACCATCACCAGAGCTCCTGGTTGCTTTCTCTTCCAAAGACCAATCCCACTGCCAGTCAATTCTGACTCACTGTGACCCTATAGGACCAGTGAGTACTGCTCCTGTGGGTCTGCAGGTTATAACTCTGTATGAGAATAGAAAGCCCTGTCTTTCTCCTGCGGAGCAGACGGTAGTTTTGAATTGCTGATCTCGCAGTGAGCAGTCCAACACGTAACCGCTGTGCTACCGGGCTCCAGGGCTTTATTTACAATCTGTTCAGAAGTTTTCATGGTGCAACTCATAAATCATCCAGAAATTTGAGAATTCCCTAATTTTCCACGGGAGTGGGGGTCAGGGGCTAGCAATGACAGAACTGTCTTTCTAGCATGGCAATAGTGAGCTATCTCCAGGATCTGTTACTCGAGTTCTGTAACAGTGGCTAGGTTCCTGGGTATGCAAACTGTTTGTACCCTTCGTGACTATTCCAATGGAATCATTGAGTGCTTGAATGCACTCAGAGGCACGGCGCCTGCTTCAATAAGATCACAGCTATTGAAAATTCTCCATTGTGCAGTTCTATTCTGAAGCATGTGGCGGGGTCGTCATGAGTCAGAACTGACTCGGCAGCAACTGTTTTGTTATTGTTGTGTGTTTGTATTTTTAGTGTTCAGTACTCTGCCATGGAGATGGTGGTGAGGGCTTATTTATGGGTGACTGTGAATCACTGCGACACCCTTTGGATACCCTGATCATTTCCCATTCAAATAGAAGGATGGTCCACAGGATCCCAAGCAGTCACCAGGAAAAAGAGGCCCTTTCATTCCCTGCTTTCTGTTCCAATTTCTCTGCGCCACCCACATGAGCCCCTCAGCGTAATCGCAGACCAGGGACAATGTATGCAGAAGTCAGTCCCCAGACATCCACCTGTCCCTGTGGGGGAGTCATACTCTAAATATAGACCCTGCAGGCAGCCTCTTTCTTAGAACGCTGAAATATGACACCCTGGCAGGAAGCTCCCCCTTTGAGGGGCCCCTGGCTGAGGGAGGCCCTTTCCCAAGGCCAGGCAGAGTCCACAGAGTTTTGCTAGTGAATATTCAGAAGTCCAGCATGTGTCCCCACTTTCTGGTTTGCCCCCACGTTTTCTAATCCACATTCATGAGCAAAGATCATATATCCCTAGCTCCTAGATGACTACCACATTTGTGCCATCATCATTCTTTACATCACCCTTTAAGTCTATTTATGAAGACTTAGGAGCACAAATTACAGATTTAGCTGTTCATCATCCACCCCACCCCCCACATTATTCAGCCTACACCCCACCTTAAGTATAGCCTACCTAGGATCTTGTACATAAGAACAGCCTTCCATAAAGCCTATTGTGCTAAAGAATCCTCTCTGCCAAGGGACCAGGGATGGGAACGGCCTTGTTGTCAGAGCACATTATAGGGCAGACTACTGCAGGTGTGGTTAGGTCCAACTGTGACACCTTGTCATTTGATTTCCTTCTTGATCCACTGTATAATCGTTCCAGTTTTAATAGTCCTTCCTTTTTTTCCTATGGAAGTTTTTCTCTGTTTCGTTTTGTCATTATTGTGCCATTTGTTTGTGTTTTGTTTTTATTTTGTATGTTTTCCTGTGTGTGAAACCCAGGAAAGGTAAACCTATGCAGATAATAACTGGGACAAGGCGGGGCGGTGGGGGTGGGTGTTGGCTGGGAAATGGAGAGCTAACAATAATGATTACAAGGAAGAAGAAATGTCCTGGACATCATAGTGGTGATGTTTGCACAATTCTCTCTCATTTTAAAAATTCACAAATCATTTTATTGGGGGCTCTTACATATATTGTAACAGTCCATATGTCCATTATATTCAGCGGATATGTGCAAATATTGCCGTCAACAATTCCAAACAGTATCTTTCGTCTTGAACCCCTTGGGTTGCATAACTCTTCTGAACCATTGAAATGTATGGTATGTGAATTGGATGTCGGTGGAACTGTTAAAAACAAATAAACGACTTAATTTTAAACTTTGAGTTGAATACATTCAATGGTTCATTTGTGATGCTCATAAAAACATTGGTGGTTGGCGGACAGAGATCACCGGCCTCTTTTTCAGGTAGATGATTTATTGTGGTCAACATGGTGTTGAGTATGTAACTTTGTATTTGGGTTAAATTGTCCTTGTTTACCTTTGTAATCGTGCCCTCACGGTGTAAACCCAACATGAATGCTAGTCCCGCATCAAAGAAAAGAAAAATAGCCTCAAATGAAAATAAAGTGGAAATAATAAAGTGATTGGAAAGAAGTGCAGTAGCATCAGTCATAGTCATCGGACAAGCGATAGGCCACAATGGGTCAATGATCCGGAAAAAAAAATTCAGAGGATAAAGTGAGAATAACGGAGCATGGGACAGGCTCTGCCCTGAAGCAAGATACACTAATGACTAAGCAACACAGTGGTTTAATTATTGAAATGGAAAGGCTATTGATAAGTTGGTTAGATGTTCAAAATCAGCATAATAGGCTTATTAGCCCTACTTTAGTGCAACACAAGGCTGGAAGCCTTTTCAATGATTTCAAAGCTGCATGCGCAGCCAGTGAAGAAGATTTGTGATGAAAAATGCGTTGCCAGTAGGGGTTGGATCAATCTTTTCAGAGTGAGGATAAATGTACATAATATTAAAATATAAGGCGAAGCTGTGAGTGCAGAAGTAAGTGCTTTGAGGAATTTTCTTGAATTGTTGGGGAAAAAAATTATTTACCAGGGCAGTTACTTGCCAGACCAAATATTTAATGTAGATGTGACTGACTTATTTTTGAAAATACATGAAAGGACTTACATTTCGACAGTGAAGGGCAGGGAATTTCACCAGTGCATAAGGCATCCAAGGCTGGACAGGTTAATTTTATTTCTTAGGAGTCACGCGTTTGGGGATTTCAAGCTCAAGCCTTTGTGTATAGCTTCCTACATCTGAGGGCACGTTGCCTAAGCATGATGGCATGTCTTCCTGGTACTTGGAAGGTAAACACAAAAGCTTGGGTTACAATGGCCATCTTTGAAAATCGCATCTTGTACCATTTGGTCTCTACTGATGAGGACTCTTGTTTGGCCAGGACAATTCCTTTCAAGGAATTTCAAGAAAATGTTCCTTGTGCTTGACAACGCATTCAGAAAGCCAATCACTTCAGATGATCGTCACCCCAGTGTGAAGATCGTATTTTACACACACACACATACACACACACACACAGAATGAGAGAAAGTACACAGCTCTCTCTTCAGTGTAGTACTATATGTAGTTACTTTCCTTGGTATGGAATCATTATTGTCCTGTACTTATTATGTTTAAGATGTTTTAAATCTAGTTTCTATCTAAAACACCTGAAACTCCATGGGCAAGACAGACAACCCTCTCAATTCTTTCACCTCTTTGTCATTCTGATCCACGATTCCTACCTATCAACCTGGGAACTGATTGTTTAAAATGATTTTACTCACTATTATAATCTACTAACATTTATTTAGGACCATATAGAGGGTTGTGCTTTGACCCAAGGTCATTTGGCTTCCCTTACAGGATTCCACAATGTTTCCTCTCTAGTTCAGGGTCTTGTTGTCAGTGTGGCATGACCAATCCCCGGTTTTGTCTATACATTGAGAACAAATGCCTTTTTAAAGGAAAGATTCTCATGCTTCAACCCATGCGCCTCTGCATTTTTGTTCTGTCCGTCGGCCATGAGGTAGAATACATTCCCACAGGAGTTCCAGCTGAATAATTTGCCCCAAGAAATACAACTCTCAGGGGTTACTGGAGCTTTCTTTCAGACATTCAGCCTATTCTTCCTATGTAGGTAAGCTGCTACTTAGAAAGCTACATCTTCAGAAAATTGCTTGGTGAGCCTGTGATCAGAGAGATGACAATTGGTTCACCCCGAGAAGTAGCTTTCAGCTAAGAAAGCTTGAAGCCCTTTAAAACATCATGGAGATGGCTCTGGCAATGAGCGAAATGTTCCATTTATCTTCGCCAAGAGTTCTCCCTCAGAGAGTGTTTGAGATAGAAACGACTACTAACATTTTCCTCTGATTTTTGCTCTTTTTTCTATGTTTAAACAAGCCGTTCACACAGTACTGCTCTAAACACAGACAGTTGATTTGGTTTCTGTTTACTAACAGGTAGCAATTTCTTTCTTACTTATGTCCCTAGTCTACAGTCTCTTGATTTACTCCCATATTGTTTGTAGACTTTAAAAATTATACACAGGCAACAGCCTTATATTCAAAGTATTAGGAAACATCATACGGGAGACTTCATGTTCTGGCATTCTTTTTTTTTCTTCCATGCCTTTATTTATTATTATGTTTTAATCGTTTTATTAGGGGCTCATACAACTCTTATCACAATCCATACATACATCAATTGTGTAAAGCACATTTGTACACTCATTGCCCTCATCATTCTCAAAACATTTGCTCTCCACCTAAGCCCCTGGCATCAGGTCCTCATTTTTCCCCCTCCCTCCCCGCCCCCCCATGAGCCCTTGATAATTTATAAATTATTATTTTGTCATATCGTGCTCCGTCTGACGTTTCCCTTCATCCACCTCCCTGCTGTCCATCCCCCAGGGAGGAGGTCACATGTAGATCCTTGTAATCAGTTCCCCCTTTCCAACCCACCCTCCCTCTATGCTCCCAGTATCGCCACTCACACCACTGGTCCTGAAGGGATCATCCGCCCTGGATTCCCTGTGTTTCCAGTTCCTATCTGTGCCAGTGTACATCCTCCAGTCCAGCCAGACTTGCCAGGTAGAATCGGATCATGATAGCGGGGGGAGGGGGGGAGGAAGCATTTAGGAACTAGAGGAAAGTTGTATTTTTCATCGTGGCTACATCGCACCCTGACTGGCTCATCTCCTCCCGTAGACCCCTCTGCAAGGGGATCTCCAGTGGCCTACAAATGGGCTTTGGGTCTCCACTCCGCACTCCCCCCCCTCATTCACTATGGTAAGATTTTTGTTCTGATGATGCCGGATACCTGATCCCTTCGACACCTTGTGAGCGCACAGGCTGGTGTGCTACTTCCATGTGGACTTTGTTACTTTTGAGCTAGATGGCCGCTTGTTTACCTTCAAGCTTTTAAGACCCCAGACGCTATATCTTTTGATAGCGGGTCACCATCAGCTTTCTTCGCCACATTTGCTTATACACCCATTTGTCTTCAGTGATCGTAAGGCATCAAAGAACAAAAAAAATCATATCATTGTGTGCTCACCTCCATGATATGATCACTGAAGACAAATGGGCTGTGACATTCTTGTATTATTTCTTCCACTAAAAAAGTTAAACCACTGTTTATAAGGGTATCATTCAGGTCATCCAATAAGTCAATGGAAGGGTCTCGTTCAAACTGTTGATGTAGAGTTCAGTCAATTTTATCTTGGTCCCAGTGTTTGTCTAATATCGACTTCTTTTAAAGGTGATACCCTCAATTTTTTGTACCCAAGTATATTTTGTAATGTTTCTTACAACCAGTTTGTCAGTGTATGTGCCTTTTTTTCCTATGGACACCTACCAAGAAGTTGTGGTTTCCCCCCCACCTTTTCTGGGTTTCTGGATTCAGAGGGCTCTGGGCCTTTTCCTTGATAAGAGATGCTGGTGAAAGCATCTTTTCTATTTCTGAGACTGGCCTAGCCAAAAGATGCATACATTCTCAGACCCTGATTAGCTCCTCCAGGGTTGGGTTACATGCTGGGGCCTTGAAAATATCAAGGTTTCTTGAAGTGGGGTGTGCTCCCTGAAAAGTGAAAAACTGTGGAAGGTTTTGGAGGCCATCACCCAACATCAATCTCCCACTCGCCCCCTTTCCCCACTCAAATGAAAATCACTTTGTCTTTTTTTCTCATAAAAAGAATGCAGACTGGGAACAGGAGCGTGGGCAGGCAAAAAACCAAACCAAACCAAAACAAAAGAAAGAGAAAAAAAGGAGAAGAAAAACCACATTCTCACTCCTTGGCCTCCTCCTCTGATGGCTTTTGTTCATTTCGGATTTAGGCGTAGATTTCAGAGGAAGTGGTAAATATTAATAGCTGGAAGGAGAGGAGATAGAAGGATAGTCTACTGTCCCAGGAGCCTAGGAAGGACGAGGCAAAATCTCAACACAAAAAAAAGTACAAGTAGCCTGGAACCCCAGGGGAAGATGTTGTTCCTTTCTGGCAGTCAGAGAAAGGCAACTACAACTAAGGGGAGATGGGAAGAGAGAAGAGGAAGGAAAGAAGTGACAAGGCCGGGGTCGGGGAAGAAAAGGAGGGGGGCGGGCCCTCTTCTGCCGCACTGCTGGTGGGAGGGGAAATTAGGGACCCGAGTTGGTGAATGACGTAGCTCTCACGTGACCAAGAGCTGACGTGTGCAGAAGTCCTTGTCCTGGTTGTTGTTCCCGTCTGAGTATCAGCTCCCCATTGCCCTGAGAGCGGGAGGACCTGCTGCCAGGGGAAGGAGGTGGAGGAGAAGGAAACTGTCCCAGATTCTTGCAGGTCAGTGCCTGGGAGATTCCATAAGGTGGAGTTAGCAGAGGGGCAGAGGGCGGAGACCGTCGCGGGTCCTGGGGTGCCTCTGTCCGTCTCTTCCACTCGACTCCTGCTTTTCAAGACTTAACCTCTGTCCCGCCAGCAGGCCATTTAGATGCTGCGAAGCGGTGAGCAGGGGGGCGGGTGTTTGGGGTGGATCCCGGAGATCTGAGGGTGGGAATCTGCTGGGAGGAGAGGCCCATGATCCTGAAAGGGAGCTGTGACCTGGGTGTTGGCTCCTAGTCCACCAGGACAGTGTCGGCGGGTGGAGCTGAGCACGGGGAGTGGGTGAGGTGCCACGTGGTGTGCTAGTGAAACCCCCAAGAGAGGTAATGGGGGGTGGGAAATCTTTGACAACTGGGTCTCCGAATTAGGAAAGAGTTTCGTGTTCTGGGGACTGGTCCGTCCACCAAAGCACTCACTAGCGGCCGTTTCCCGTCTTTCTGCCTGTGACTGTCGCTTCCTGACCATGACTCTGGATCTAGTGGGTCCCAGCCTCTCTCGGGCTGGCCAGTCTTTCCTTAGGTTGCGGCGCGTCGCCAGGCAAGAGGAGAGGCAAGAAATTAACCCTGAGCGGTGAAGGTCGACTTAAGGGTAAGGTCATCTGGGTATCGCCGGAGGGGCGCCCGTGGCGGTGGGGCGAAACCAGAGATGGCGATCCAGGTTCTGGTCGGAGTCCCAGTGCGGTTCTCGCTCTCCCGGGACTGTGGGGAAATGGCGTGCGTTGGGGAGGGGGGGTGACCGGAGGGAAACCTATCAGAGAGTTTGTTCCTAATCCTCCTCTCTCATCCAGCAGTTAGTCCCCATGTTTTCCATCTGTCATCCTCCAGGTCTGCTGTAGCAGGTGGCCCCACTTGAGGCGGGAGAGGAAGTTTCCCCTGGATTAGTCGAGGTCGGTGTGGGTGTGGGGGCTGCCTGGAGTGGGAGTGGGAGGGACTTGCGATCAGCTGAGGTCTAGGCCGGCTGGTCTACGCCTGCCTTATTTTCTTTCCAGCCCTCCCATTTCAAGTTGAGGGGGCGGGGCAGGCATGTGCGTGTTTGGGCTGGAAGAGAGGCTGAGAGAGGTTTTTGTTTGTGATTGTTTTTAAACGGACAATTGGATTGTGAACCAGGAAAGCTGACACCGGAACAGGGATGCGTCGGCCCAGGGAGCCCTCAGTCCTTACTAGCGTGTTCTCTCCACAGAGCTGAAGGGTCCTTGGGTGTGGCACACTTCTAGGGGCGGGAAGAAGGAGCAAACTCTGGTGGAGGTTAGTGACAGGGTGCTACCTTCCTGAGGATGCCTGAGGTTGGGAATGGCTGGTCTCTGTAGCTTTTGCTTTGATTCTGGGTAGGCATGAGCTGCGGTGGGGGCGGGGTGTTGGAAGAAGGGGGAAGGGGGAGGGTAGAGAGTTTAACAATCTACCTTTCACACCAAACACTCAATGACTACTTTCCTGCGCCTCCCTCTGGATAACTTTGTGGGGGAAGACAGAGACGATACACTCAACCCCCATTTCATCCTCCATCCTCAGGTCAACGACCAGTATCAGCTGCTGTTGCCTTGAAGTGACTGAAGACCACCCACCCTCCACAGGCCCGAATCCAAGCCCAGAGTCATCCTCCTTGCAGCCCGAGTGACTCCTCTGTTCCTTGGTCCCTGCTACTGTCAGGGACGATTGCATGGGCTACGCTAGGAAAGTAGGCTGGGTGACTGCGGGGCTGGTGATTGGGGCTGGCGCCTGCTATTGCATTTACAGACTGACCAGGGGAAGAAGACAGAACAAGGAGAAAATGGCCGACGGTGGGCCTGCGGATATGGATGATAATGGCGAGTGTTCTGGGGGAAGGGACAACGACTGGTCTGATGATGACGATGACAACAGTGAGAACAAGGGTATCGTTTGGTATCCACCTTGGGCTCGGATTGGGACTGAGGCCGGGACCAGAGCTAGGGCCAGGGCCAGAGCCAGGGCCATTCGGGCCCGTCGGGCCGTCCAGAAACGGGCTTCACCCAACTCAGATGATACGGTTTTGTCCCCTCTGGAGCTGCAGAAAGTTCTTTGCCTGGTTGAGATGTCTGAAAAGCCTTACATTCTTGAAGCAGCTTTAATTGCTCTGGGTAACAATGCTGCCTATGCATTTAACAGAGATATTATTCGGGATCTGGGTGGTCTCCCAATTGTTGCAAAGATTCTCAATACCCGGGATCCCATAGTTAAAGAAAAAGCTCTAATTGTTCTCAACAACTTGAGTGTGAATGTTGAAAATCAGCGTAGGCTTAAGGTATACATGAATCAAGTGTGTGATGATACCGTCACATCTCGCTTGAACTCCTCTGTGCAGCTGGCTGGACTAAGACTGCTTACAAATATGACTGTGACTAACGAGCATCAGCACATGCTTGCCAATTCCATTGCAGACTTCTTTCGTTTGTTTTCAGCGGGGAATGAAGAAACCAAGCTTCAGGTTTTGAAACTCCTTTTGAATTTGGCTGAAAATCCAGCCATGACTAGAGACCTGCTCAGGGCCCAAGTACCATCTTCACTGGGCTCCCTCTTTAATAGGAAGGAGAATACAGAGATTATTCTGAAACTTTTGATCATTTTTGAGAATGTAAATGACAATTTTAAATGGGAAGAAAATGAACCTACTCAGAATCATTTCGGCGAAAGTTCGCTTTTTTCCTTTTTAAAAGAATTTCAAGTATGTGCTGATAAGGTGCTGGGAATTGAAAGTCACCATGATTTTCTGGTGAAAGTAAAAATCGGCAAATTTATGGCCAAACTGGCGGAGCACATGTTCCCAAAGAGCCAGGAATAATGTATTGATTTTTTGGTCTAGAAACACTATATATTGTGAACTATTCCTTTTCTCCACCTTGTGTATATGGTAAAGAAATCCTTTCAGCTGCCAATTTTGAATAATGATTATCATATGATAGTATCAGTGCTGATATTTTCCACGTTGGTTTTCGGGTTTAAACTGGATAATATGGTTACTTTGTATCTTGCTGCCTACATTGAAATATTTTTACTATTTTCTCTGTATAAGGGACAGTCAACCAATTCACCATAAGTTTGCTCCTTTTTGTCATTTGCATTGACCTCCTTTGTGTCTCATCAATAAAATTCTGAGTTGATTCTGGAAAGAAAGTGGGGGGTGGGGGTGGGGGCACTTGTTGGCCAAAGAATGAAAGAAATCATCTTTGTCTTTTGGTTTACAATCTGCTTGGAGAGAGAAAGAACTATCAATTAAAACGATAACAGAATAGTGTTAGCATATGCTTATTGTCAAATATGCTCTTCCAGAACACAGAGGAGGCAGAGGTCTGCAGGTGACCTTAGTAGTCAGCTAAAGTGTCCTGGAGGAACAAGCACTTAAAATGGGCCCTACATGGGGTAGGACAGGTAGAACATTTGATGAGAGGGTATAATGGGCCTGAGGATGGTGTGAGAAAAACCTGGAGGTAGGAAGCCTCTTTCTGGGAGGAAACCTATCTGCTTAGCATGGAGAGTGTAGCCAGTTGGATTAGAAAAGTGGAAAGCTATTTGAATATTATCTCATGGAATACTGAGAGCCACTAAATACTTTCAAGTAGAGAGAATATTTGGGATCCATTTAAGAATCCCTCTTTCTATGGGGCAGGGTGAGGCAGAATGAACATTTTTGAATTTTGGCAAATGGGAATGAGTTTACCCTGGCGCCAAGTTTGTAGGGGGCCATTTGGCAATACATATGATAAATAAGCTTTATATATGCAAACTTTGGACTCTGCCCTAAGAAAGCAGTAGAATAAGTAGCCAAAGAGTATGTGTACAAGGCTATGGAGCCCAGAACTGTCTGAAATAGTAAAAATAGCATAGTAGATCGGTTGCACAAATGATGGCATGTTCACATATTGGAATAGGATACACATGTTATTGGACATTTATATTGCCAGGATAAGATATTCACCAGTATTGTTATGTGAGAAATGTAGGTTAGATAGCGATGCTCATAGTATGAGTTCTCTTTCTTAAAAAGGACAATAAAATATGTTTAAATAGATATTAAATAATCTGGAAATATGGATACCAGACTTATCTTTTGGGTGGACGGATAATGAGTGATTTTTTTAACCTATTTACTTTTATTCATCTATGTGTTCTTGTTTATATATAATGAGCCTTAATTTTTAGGGGGGAAATGGACACATTTTACTGTGATTTGGGTGGAAGTTGATGAGCAAATTAGCTTTCCATTCAATAATCTAGACACATTTTGTTCAAGTCAGTGATTGCAAGCCCTGAAGTCATTGCATTCTCCCCACTGCATCCTCCTTTCCCAGCCCTGCCTGCCTGCTGAGCTTCCTGAGCAGCTGCTACCATGTTGGTCACCTACGGTTAATTGTTCTAAGGAAGAGGTTCCTTCCTGGTGTTATTGTTCATCTTATAGGCCTGTCGATTGTTTGGCTGAAAGCTGGGCCATGGGAGTAAGTTCAGTTAAAGGGTGTCCAAGGGCTATGGTCTCTGAGGTTCCACTGTCTCTATTCGAACAGTAAGCCTGGTCTTTTTTTTTTTTTTTTACGATTTTGAATCTTGTCCTACGTTTTTCTCCCACTCTATCCAGGACCTCCTCTGGTGATCCCTTGTAGAGCAGTGGACAGTGGTAGCTGGGCAGCATCTGCTTCTGCTTTGAGGATCATGCAGGTTGTAGTTCACTTAGTCCAATAGTGCTTCTTAGGGAATTTTTGAAAAAGAAAATTTAGGGGGATGAAGCAGGTTGGAGTATGTACTGTGTGGGAAAATATTTAGATAGAACAATGAGTGGGCTTGAAACTTCCTCTCTGAAATGAGAGAAGATGGGAATTACGTGAAGTGTTCCAGGTTTTCACAGTGTTCTGGCACATAGCCGTTAATCATGAAAAACGAACACCTTGAACTCCTTAGAATGCAAGGTTGATAATGTTTTGTTTGACCTTTATTTTGCTGGGGGATTCTGTCACGGGTCAGTGTCATTGAATAAAAAATAGCAACAATAAAAGCTAGCATTTATTAAGTGGCTGCTTTGTAGAGGTCTGTCATTCCTGCAAGGAGTGTTTTTGTTCTTTTTAAAGAAGTGTTTACTCAGACATGAGATCTCACTAACCTCCACAACATAGTCCTAGAAACTAGGACCTAGTTGGGTTGGAAGACAAGGCGATACATCTTGCTTTAATATAAGAGACCAGGAAAAAGTCAAATCTTCTGATTCGTTCTGTACTAGTTTTCACCGCATGGCTCCAGATACTCACTCTAGTGTCTGTAGTGGACAAAGTGGTCAGAGCCTGGTTGGTCTGGAGTTCTTGGGTTTGGTGATCTGGCTGAACTGTGCGCGAGCGAGGACTTACATGACACAAGAGGGAAGGGGTAGGGGGAAAAGAAACATTTTGCTTGCTCCAATGTTGGGTGAAAGAAGCAAGTTTGGGAGGGGATGATGATGAATGTAGTGTAAAGACCACTGAGTTTGAAAGGTCCCTGGGTGGGGCAAATGGATTGCACTGGGCTAGAAACTAAAACGAAAAGGTTCATCGTTTGAACCCACCAGCAGCACGTCAGCAGAAGCAAGCAAGCCTGGCCTGTTGGAGCCCTATGGAGCAGGGCTGCTCTGTAACCTAGGGTCTCCTAAAGCACAAATCAACAAGAACAACAAAGAGCAAAGGAAAAATCAGCAGGAAAATAAGATTGCATTTGAGGTGCCTATAACAACAGAGAAGCAGGGGCTCCCTGTTCTCCTTTGACTGCCTTGATCTCGAGCTCACAGACTCGAGGCCTCGGCTGTAAGTAGGATTGGGGATGGAGGGCACAGGAGTGGATGTGAGCCTCCAGAGTGGAAAGGCGGAGGGCTTCAATCGAATCCTATTGGGCAGCCTTGGCGAGCAGCGCAGAATTGAAACTGCCTCCCCAGACCTTTTTCATTCTCTGTCTAGATAGGTGGATTCTTCACATGAAAGTGGATCATGCTTCAGGTACATTTCAGAGCCTGATTTCATCCCACCCCCGCCCTGCGAAGCATCATAAATATTCCCTGGAGGTCATTTCGAAAATAGAGGCAATGAGTGCAAACTTGTTTCCTGACCCAGAAAGGCAGCTTGAACATTAAAAAAAAATTCCATTTGAAGCATGTTGAATTTGAGGTGTCGAGTGACTTTTCTGACTCGGTGACCATAAGATGAATTTCCCAATAATAGAAAGACAAGGAGCCCTGCTGGCACAATGGTTAAACACTTGGCTACTAATGGAAAGGTCTGCAGTTGTAACGCAGCAGTGAGCGAAAGGACTTGGCAATCGGCTCCCAGGAAGATAACAGTGGTGGAAACCCTATGGGACAGTTCTACTCTGTCTTACCGGGTCTCTGTTAGTCAGAATTGAGTAGACCGCACACAACAAGGCAGGTGACCCAAAGCCACGGTGAAGCAGAGGCGCCAGCTTGACTGGCTCCTATCTGCTCTGGTGGCTCTCTGTACCTCACTATGTCTCTTCTCAGCCCTTCTGTTTCTTTTCGGGAGTTAGCTGGTGAGAACATTTGGGGGCTATTGGGTTTCTGTGTCTATCGAGGTGGCCCTTTTAATTTCCATGAAATCAAACGATAGTAAAAAAAAACAAAAAAAACAAAAACCCAAACCCACGATGTCCACTCATACTGACCCTATAGGGCAGAGTATAATAGTCCCATAGGATATCCAAGGCCGTGATATTTATGCAGTAGAATGCTTACATCTTTTTCCCGTGGAGGCCAAAAACTGCCAGCCTTTCAGTTAGCAGCTGGTTGCATTAACCACGGTGCCACCAGGGTTCCTTTATCATGCACCGCTGGTCACTTAGAATAGTCATTGTCAATGGTGTCATCCAGTGATGCTGCTTGCATCTGGGTAATAAGTGTTTTTTTGGCGCCCTTGTTGAACAGATACTGGAAGGATTGAACTAGTCTACGCTTGGCACAGCCCAATGTACAAGGCAGGCACTTTAGTTGTCCCCATCTGGTTTTGTTGGCCTTTGGAGAAATTGCGACGGGAGATAGCTGTGTGACTGCCTGGGCCAGGCCGGCCACACCCCCAATGTTCCCGTGTTTTTTACTGTGGACATTGTCACTCTCAATCATTTGGACAGGAGCACCGTTGGTTAGATTGTGGCAGCGCACTTGTTCATGAGGACAGGGGCCTCTCTTTAGAGGATGGCTGCTTTTGGACATCCAAGGACCTCGGGAACTTCAGGGGATAGCCTGCTGTCTTGGTTTTGTTCTCTTGTCGAACTGTTTTTGGAATTGGAGAGCAGCCTATATCAGTGCAAGTGTGTTCAAGGTGATTTTATAAAGGTAGTGTTCAACTCCATTATCAGCTTCCACCCAAAGCATAATCATATTTAAAGGCTCAGAAAACCAGTTTTCTTTTTTTAAAAAAATTCTTATTTACTTGCCTTGTTTTAAAAACCATTCAAAGTGTAGATTTAGTAAACTGATGTGATTCTGGCAAATTTGTGTCTATGGCTGTTTGGTTGATTTTTCGGCTTTTCTTATGATGATGATTATTTTCGTTGTGTGCTTTTTACATTAAGTTTATATCTCTCCCATTCTAGGCTGATGGTTTTCTTTGTTTAAACCATGGATCTTTAGGCCACAGCTGTCTCACTGCCCTTCCAGGGAAAAAGGACTCGGATATTGGCCCCTGGTTTGCTGTGCTCTGAGGGTGGGAGAACTGATGCTCACTTTTCAGAGTGGTGTAATCTCCACCCTTGATCCTCTCCATTGAGCCTCTCTCTGGCCTTAAGTGAAGGGCATGGGTAATGTGAGAGTTTGGCAATGGGCATGGGGGCAGGGGTGGGAATTGTTTCCCAGCCATCATGATAACTACTAAGGAGAAGTCTCATGTATTTGTGTCAGCTCAGGCAGGAAACAATTAGATTCTAGAACAGAGGTGAGGAACTTTTTTTTCCCCCTTGCCAAAGCCATTTGCATATAACATTATTTGCAGGCCATACTGGTCAAACATTTAATTAACTCACCTCTAGTGTGATGGGTGGAACTGCTTCTCTTTGGAGAGGCCTGTCATTTAGCTGGTATTGATGATGTCCAAGGGCAGACATTCTCCGCCCTCTTCTAGAGTAAGAAGGCCCTATTAGATTCTCGACTTGGAGGACAGCATT